CACTTAGACAGTCACTGGAATAGATGCTGGCCTGGGATCTGTCCTGTCCAGTTTTGGATGAATGAGAATGAATTCCCTGAATCATAAAATGAGAAGTGAGATGGTCTCTGAGGTCTTTTTGAGTCTATCCTTCTGCGACTCTGAACTACTAGATAGACTACTCATGTTTTTTCATGTAACGGAAACCTCAGCGTTTACTGACATTGCTTTTATTCCCTGTCAATGCATTCATTTTACTTCAAGGGCTCAAAACATTAGGTGGGAATCTGAAGGCATGTGATTGGACTCGAGAAGCTTTTTCAGGAGGAAAGACCCTCTTGACACGGTCCTTCCACACTCAAGAAAAGAACAAAAAACGGCAACTAATTCAAATATTGCCCACCTACATTAAAAGTAAAAAGGGATGAGACTTTTTCTCTAAAGCAAAAGGGCTGTCGACCCAGTACCTGAAGCTTCGCAGAGCATTCACTTGATCTGTGAAAGATGTTCAGCCTTAAGAAAGTATTTACCCAATTCCCAATTGTCTAAAACAATCAGCTGGCTGTCTACCAAAGGGATCAGAGGCTTCCTGGCGACCTCAGACTCTCAACGCAGAGGACCAGGGCAGGCCGACCAAGCCACGGGCAGGGGAACTGGTCAGCATCTGCAGCATCAGCAATCTCTCCTTGCTCCCATTGGCCTGCGTACGGTTGGCGGCGTGAAGACTACGTCAGCAGAGACGGTGTCTGCCGCCAAATAGAAAACTGTACTGGGACTGAGGGATTTCCTGAATTTCATTTTAGATGATCTTCGATTTAGTCCCACATCAAGGAGATGAGGCAGAGAGGTGATGTGTCCAAGGTCAGCAGGTGACAGGAATGTGCAGCCCTTAGCGGCGGAGGCAGAGTTTTGAGGGATCAGCAGGATGTTGAGGGTTTTTTTCCCTTTCCTCAAGTAAATGACTTTTTGTGGTTAGAGCAAATGAGGAAGTGGTCACCCTTGGCACTGAGAACTCTCCCACATGATACAAGCTGCAGGCGATTTCTCCCATGATCAGAAAAACTTCCATGATTAGTAGATGTGGCATATGCAAAACCCTGAATCTCTGTCCCAAGCTGGAATAACTTGACCTTTGGGGGCTGGGTTTATCCAACAAACTGGAAACATGAGGGTGGGGCAGACAGCAGCCATTTCCACCTACCTGCTCTCTCTAACTCAGGCAGAAGTTTGTAACATTGACCTCACCACGTGATAGGACTTGAATGATCTGTGCACCATTAATCCTGTGGCTGATGAACTCTTTAGGGCTACCTGACTTTATATCCAGTTCACACTTCATTCTTTCTTTCGCCTGGTCAATTTTTATTCTCTTATGTTACATGCATACATTTTTATCAAAACCCATGATATTGCGAATTGCTTGACTGTTGGTCAATGTCTTGCTCATCATTGTATTCCACACAGTGAACATTCATCAGTGACATTCTCAGTACATATCTTTTTCTAAAACTGAACACTGATACTTGTAAGCAGAGTTCATAATCCCCAAAGTCAGATTTTCTAGAGGTGGGACAGAGCTAAATTAGAAACCACACTACTATTACAATGCTTTCGCTCCACCTTACCTTGCTCATTTTGATGTCATTGCTTAAACTGTCCTTGAACTTTGCCGACAAATTCTTATTCTTCCTCGAGGACCAAGCTCAGTCACTGTGAAACTCTATTTTGTGTATAATTCTTTCCATTAGTTATTTCTTATAATTATTTTATGGATTAAAAGGAATTATTTGCATGTTTGTTAGCTATGAACTAATTGAAGGAAGGGCCTATTTTTGAATTTTTTAACTGAAATGGACTTAACTACATACTATATTCTCTCTTCAGAGCTCCCCAGATTTGCAAAGCAGGCGGCTGCTGTGTGGTACAATGTCACAGGTTCAGGGAAAACTCTCTAAACTACCCACCTGCTCTCTTAGCCATGAAAACATAGTGTAATTCAAACCTTTGATTCCTGTTTATTCCCTTAATACCTTGAGAAAGGTCACCCTTGAAGCTTCTAGCAGAGGTTTATTTTAGTGCTAAGGAATTCAGATCTCCTCCTTAGAGACCGTTTTAATAGGGAAAGGACTAAAGAGGAACAGGAGCTTGGGGGAAAGTGGAGATGGAGTGTTTCTCTTGAGTCACCAAAGATAAAGTTTGCCTAGTTTCTAATTTTACTGAGGCTCCAAGCCTTTAATGAGTTAGCCCAGTGAAAAACCCAATAACCCAATGTATAATGAAGCTTAAATTCAACTCGCTGAAGCTAGAGAAGATTAATTCTACACTCATCGATCATAGGTTGAAACTGGGTCTGAAATGGTTTTAAACTTTTAGGTGGTAAAGTGGTGGATTGGGTGTAGCTCTTGTGTTGAGTGTTGCTTTGTGGCTAGAAATCAGGCTGTGCTTTGATGAGAGATCCCAAATTGCAATGTCTTAAATACTAAGAAATATTAAAATATCCTTGGTTGTGTTTTTTTTCTGGGAGATATCATTAACTCAATTCTGCACCTGATCTCCTAAAAGCTGAGCCAGTGGGACCCTGATTTGGTCTTGATTCTATGTTGCCCATAGCTATTGGCTGCTTTGTGAAAGATCTTTTTCCTAGGCAAGGATCAAGGGATACTAGTTAATGATTAACACTTTCCTTTTTTTCTTTTTTAAAATTTTTATTTATTTATTCGAGAAAGGGGGAGAGAGAGAGAGAGATGGAGACATCTATTTGTTGTTCCTCTTATTTATGCATTCAGTGGTTGATTCTTGTATGTGCCCTGATTAGGGATTGAACCCACAACCTTGGTGTATCAGGACAATGCTTTAACCAGCTCAGCTATCCAGCCAGGGAGGTATATTCTACTATTGCAGTAGCAGAGTCAATGTACACGGTTTTATTTTATTTTTTTAATTTAACCTTTATTGTATTTTTTCCATTACCATTTACCTGCCTTATACCCCGCTTCCTCCAGCAAGCAGTACACTGTTGTCCATGTCCGTGAGCCCTTTCTCCTTTTTGCTCAATCCCTCCACCCCCTAACCTCCTCCCCCTTCACTAGTTGTCATCTGCTCTCCATCTACGAGTGTCTTTGTTTTGCTTGTTAGTTCAGTTTGTTCATTAAATTCTATATATTAATGAGATCATACGGTATTTATCTTTCTCTGACTGGCTTATTTCCTTTAACACAATGTTTTCCAGGTCCATCCATACTGTTACAAAGGGTAAAATTTTCTTTTTTATGGTGAGTAGAATTCCATTGTGTAAATGACCTGTAGTTGTTTTATCCACTCATCTAATGTTGGAGACTTGGGCTGCTTCCAAATCTTGGCGATTGTAAATACTGCTGCAATGAACATAGGGGTGCTTATGTTTTTTCAAATTAGTGTTTTGTGTTCCTTCGGCTATACTCCCAGAAATGGGATTGCTGGGACAAAAGGCAGATCCATTTTTAACTTTTTGAGATTATCTCCATACTGCTTTCCACAGTGGCTGCACCAGTCTGCATTTTCACCAACAGTGCAAAAGGGTTCCCCTTTCTCCACATCCTCACTGCACTTGTTGTTTGAACACTTCATTTTTAACAGCAGGCAGTTCTGCGTCTGCTAGTTTCCACAGCTGCATCTCTCTGCATCTACGTATAGGAAATCATTTGCTTTTAATCGTCTAATTGCTCCTTCTGACCAGAATAAACTTTGTGTTTTGTAGCTGTGTTTTTTCACATGTACCAGTGTCTACTGACAGAGACGCATTATTTCAAAGAGAAAATTGTGAGCAATTTCAAGCCTGCGATGGAAATAAAAAGGGGGGGAGATAGGAAAGAGAGCAAGTAAATGATCAGACATCAATAGCCCCGTGGCGCATATTTAATTTCTAGAGATTATATCCAATCTAAATAAGAATTAAATACACGTCACCATTCTGATATTTTGCGCCTGCTTTTACATCCTGAAGTATCTCTTCACAGCGCCCTAGGTCTGCTACGGGTCACGTGGGTCCCACACCTGTGCTGCACTGCTCGTCTTCCCTCTGTTTCCACAGAGAGGAGCTGTAACTGCACTAAGAGGAAGCAAACAGAATCCCAAAGATCAAAGATTGAGTACATGTCGGTGAGAATGGCTAGAAGTTTCTGTTTATCAATTGACAGGTGAGGAGAAATAATTCATCAGGTTTTGTTTAGAGATCTCAGGCTGTTGAAATCGGACTTTAAGATCTTAATCCAATGGGAATGAAAGATGAACTTACCTCCAGCGTGTACTCATGACAAGTCATTTCTTTACTCTGAGATATGACTCTTATCTCACAGTGGTCTGAAATCGTCCTTTCAAAGTTGTTTGTTTTTCAAATTGCAGTGCTTTCCAGGTGTGCTAATTCTGACAAACACTGGCATCTGGTATGTGGAAAAACTATCTTTTTTTGTGGCACTCAGTCAATTGGCAAATATTGATTAATGCACATTTTGTGCCAGGAATTGTTCTAGTCCTTGAGGGTAGAGCAGAGAACAGAACAGACGAGCTTCTGTCCTTAAGGAGCTTCTGCTTGAGTGGAAGGAGACATAATGAAAGTCTAACCACGAGTGAAATATGAGGGTGAAAGGTTAGAGATCAACCTAAATTGGTCAGGAAAGATCTTTCTGAGGAATGACATCTGAATTGAGGTCTGAACATGGGGAAGAAAGCATCCTTGTGACAATTTTGAGGGAGCAGGGACTGAGCTCAGCCTGGGGACTGGGATGTGGTGAGCAAGCCAAAGGGAGGGACTGGGTCTCTGGAGGCTCCCTGGGCCATTGTCAGGAGTTTGGAGTTCACTCACGCTGTACTGACAGGTCACTTAATGTTTCATGCAGGAAAGGGACGTGTCCTGATCTAATTGGGAAAATTAACTTGGCTGCTGTGGAGGGTGGACAAATGGGACCTGCTAGTGGGTGGAGACTAGGGTGGTGCCAGTAAGGAGCCAAAGGTCACTTTAGAGCTCTTTACTGTTGTCAGAGCTATCAGGACTGGATGTAGAATATGGAACGGAAGAATTAGGCGTGGATACTGCATTTTTACCTGAGCAACGGGTGAACATTGGCGCTGTTGGCTAAGGCCTCTGGTGTTGGGGCGAGCGGGCTTGGACAGAGCAAATGAGGTCTCTGTCGGGGTCCTTTCAGGTTTGTGCAAAGGAATCAGTCATTCTGTGCCACCTTGCTCTGTGGATGTAGCTAGGAAGCTGCAATAATACTTTTCGCTAGTGACATCTGTAGAGGTCGCTTTCAGGTGACAGTGTGTTTCCCAATACTCAGTGGCCTATAATCTGTGGCCGGGGTCAAGCGCTAATACCAGTAACACGTGATTTCATTATTTAGGCTTTTCCTCAGGACTAAAATGGTACTAAGGAAGTGAGTTGGGGTTTTAATGAATTCTCCAGGCAATAGAGAACCAGGTTATACTTTTATTTTCAGTCAAATGGTTTGCTTATTTTCATAAACTTTTGGGATGTTAACTGAGTGATAACAATTAGCCTTGAGGATAAGAAAGTAAACACAAATAAATCCCTCACTTTCTTGGGCTCAAGAACCCCCGCTGAAGAGAGCAATTATAATTACCCAAAATGCCTGATTTTGTTGAGCTATCACATATATTTTGTATCTGTATATATATGTACGTATATCTGTACATATATATGTACAGATATACGTACAGATATACGTACATATATATGTACATATATATACGTACATATATATGTACATATACAGGGTGTGGCAAAAGTAGGTTTACAGTTATATGTGAAACACAGAGTTTATTCTTGTGTTATTATTTATTATTGTATTATTTTCCATACTCACAACTTGTAAACCTACTTTTATGTATGTATGTGTATGTACGTATATCTAGAGCAAGAGAGACTTTTTCTGTGAATATTGGCATACATACAGCACACACATACACTGGAACCTCGGTTCTCAAACTTAATATGTTCCAGGAGACTGTTTGAGAAGCAATTTGAATAGCAATTTGAAAACTGAGTCTCTTTTGTTTGTTGCCTGAGAGACACGTGACTGATCATATAGGTATTAGCATGAAAGTATTGTTGGGTTGAGAATCAAGACCTGAAGTTTTATTAGAGAAACGGAGACATTTTTTCCATCAACAGCTTGGTTGAGAACCAAATCAAGAACCAAGATGTTCAAGAACTGAGGCTTGACTGTATATGTAACATGCATATACATATGTATGCCAATATTTACAGAAAAAGACATCCGTCTAGCTACCCCTGCCACCCCCATCTCACCTGCCTCCCACCCGGTGAATAAGAGATAGCAAGAACATTCACAATCTAAACAAGTGGATAGAATCTTATAAGAATATGTCTCTTTTGTTCATTTGTTCCTTCTTTCATTTATTAAGTCATCTATTAGTCAACCAGCATCTACTGTGTTCTAAGCTTTATCCTGGACTCTGTGTATATAAATACTTTTTATTTACTGGCAATTATTATTAACCTTTTTTATAATTAAAATGAGTAATAACAGCAAGTTTAGTTTAATTAGATCCTGAGTGGAGAATTTTGCGCCAGATCCCAAAAGGGGACACACACCATGTGAAGGGAGTTACCTTGAGGACAATGGGAGTCACTGATGTGTTTATTCTGTAAGTGGGAGTGCCTTGACTTAGCTTTGCATATAGAAAGCAGCAGTTTGGAAATGAAAATTAAGTGAATAAGGGTACCCTTCACTTGTCCCTCAGACCTATGCCCTCCCTCCCAGGCCACTCCATACACATAGGCATGTCACTTAGCCACCATTAATGTATTCAGTGACTCTAGGAAGGACAGATTCATAATATGTGCCTTCTTGAAATTTCATAAGCAAATGCCTTTAGATCAGAGTAAGAAAATGAGTTAAAGAATTCTTTGAAAATTAACTATATTGTTTGGGGACGCCCTTTTTGTTTGTTTATTTTGCTTTTATTCTGGTGTTGATTCTGAAGAGTTTTGGATTTTTTTTTTTTTTTTTTGGAAATGTCTTAGAAGCAGCTTACTTAATTTTCTCTCCAACGGGTTATGTATCTTTCTATTTGTAGGACATATAGACACCGCGGCTCAGGTAGCAGGAGGCCCAGGCAGAGAAATCAAAAGTTGATAAAGGAGGGAGCAGATATAAATATCCAATTTGTGCTCCACAGAACTCATATAATATCATCAGGAAAAAGAATGAGATATCAGGAAAATGAATGAGAATAACTTGTGGTAATCTAGTTTGCTATTCATTTCCTCAGCACATTTTTACTGAGTGCTTCAGTACGCCTGGCAATGCCAGATACAGCTCCTAGCCTCATGGTTATTTTGGCACAGGTTTGGAAAAGGTTTGGTGTGCTCATTAAGAAAAATTTGATTCCTTCACACTTTAAAAGCATTAGTTTCTTACTCCGACAGTTTGTTTAAATATTTACTTATTAATTCATTCGGCAAATGCATTTATTTTGATTAATTATTGTAGAAAAGACTGTGCTAGGTTTCAGGATTTGTGAAAAAAATCAAACAAAGATGCAGCTTTTGAAGCGCTGCGGAGACCACCACATTTTGGTGGTTCCTGTGGTGTCAATAAATGCATCAGTAGAGTTAAATCCAATATACTAAACAGCAGTGGTTTGAAACACTCATTTGAAATGTCCTGGGGCTAGAATAAATAATGAGTCATTATTATGAAGTGCTAGGTCCCTGGGGAGTATGATCTTTGGACCAGCCAGTGATGGGATGAAAGGACTTTCTGGTCACTGAAACGGGGTGAGAACACAGAATCACTAATAAATCAGTCACATCTCAGGGTGCACGATAGGAAATAGATCTACTGCCTCTCCAACATCCATTGTATTTTTCCATTTATTTACTATGCCTTGCATTATTTAAACCCCACTGAGTTTTTCTCTTTGGCTCTGATGAACATTTCCTTCTAAAAATTGTTGACCACTGTCCCTCCCACAGAGCTGCTAACAAATATTACAAATTCAAGGCCAGGAACAATGAACCATGTGCAAGTAGAGCTGAAAAAGGTGTAAGAGTCAAATGATTATGAGTTTGCAATATTTTCATTTTTGTGAATGTACAAAACACAACACCAAGCCTGCAGGTTATGGCGATTGATGAATAAAATCTTAGCTTTTAGAAACTGCGGGATCATCTTCAACATTGAAGATATCTGTTTGGATTTCAGTTCCAGAGAAAGCTAGGGAATTTGGAGAGACCTCACTAAAGAGAATTTTTGAAAAATAGGTTAAAGATAGAGAAAACGGCTGGGAGAGTACGGCTTAGACTCCCAGAAGACGAGGTGGCTTGTGAGCGTTTTCTTTGGGGGGGAACTGTTGGGGCCTCTCTCCTTTGATTCTTTTGTAACAGTTCTGAGAGGTAGGTTTTTAAGACTCTTGTACTATACCGTAGTCCCTCTTATTCTTGGGGGGCACATTTCAAGACCCCCACTGGATGCCTGCAACTGTGGATAATACCAAACCCTGTATACGAGGTCGGGCACAAGTAGGTTTACAGTTATATGGAAAAATAATACAATAATTAATAGATAATAATACAAGAGTAAACTGCGTTTTGCACACTCACGCCTGGAAACCTACTTTTGCCATCGCCTGTGCACAGTGGCTTTTTTTTTCCTTACATACAAACCTATGATAAAAGTGAAATTTATAAATTAGGCAATTCCACGAACAGATTCGTTCTTCTTGTAGATCTTAGCAGCCTCAGAGGATGTTTTTTTTTTTCCTTTCTTTATTGAGGACTTCTACTGTTTCACTTCAATGAAGCATTTTGCAGCTTTGGCATATCTGCATTGCCAGCACCACTACCCTTGTGTTTTGGGGTCGTTTAGTAAGGTAAGGCTGACTTGACCACAAGCACTGTGATCAATACCTTGTTAATCTGATGACGCACATGCCTGCCTGGTGCCTAGGGGGCGGGTGACACACACACCATAGAGCCAGGCAAGGGGACGATTTGCGTCCTGGTCAAGTAAGAGCAGGACTCATGAGATTTCATCATGCTATTCAGAATGGTATGTAATTTAAAACATATGAATTGTTTATTCCTGGAATTTTCCATTTGCTATTTTCAGACCATGATTAACTGCATGGGACTGAAACTGCAGAAAGCAAAACTGTGGATAAAGGGCGGCTGCTTAGATGCCTGTGCTTAATACACGAGGTCTAGTCGTAGGGAGAACACAAGCTTTCCCGTTGGACCTGTCTTGGAGTCCAAACTAGGCTGCTTGTTGGCCTTAATGTGCTCTTGTTTCGTCATTTCATTTTCTCATTTGCATAGTGGGTCTAATAAAGCTTGTATTGTTCCCTGAGGGATTAAGTAACTGTATGTGAAGCACTTTCTACTATATCAGGTACATTTTGATTTTCACTAAATGAAAACTATTATTATGACAAAGTTATAAAGAAGGTTGCAAACCTGGAGAAATTTTTGTTAAATTGTGATGTTAGGTGTGGTCCTGGAAAAGAGAATTTGATAACCTTTCCCATACTCCCAACAAATACATTTTTTTTCCTCAATACAAAAGAATGTATGGTTGATAAAGTAATTCAAAATATTCACTGATACATGAAGTAAAACTCTCCTCTTCTCTAATTCCATGCCCCAAAGGGATTCCCATGAAGAGTTTGATGTACACCCTTTCATATCTTTCCCTAGGTACATGGAAAAAACACACATATCCATCTACACACATAGCTGTTTTTGTAAATATGGCATTATATTATGCATATCGTTCTGAAACTTGGTTTTTCACATAACAATGTGTCATAGACATTTTTCTGTGAAAATTCAGAGTTCTATTTAGTTTTTATTTTATTTTTGCTTTAATAGCTAGATGAAATTCCATAGCATGAATATGGTATTATTTGTTTAATCCGTCTCCTGCTGTTTAAGTTTTAGGTTGTTTCTATTTATTTATTTATTTGTAAAGAAAAAGAAATCCCTTTGGGAGGTCTCCTTCAAATGTTAGAGATTAGTCTGAGCATACTTAATTTTCCTTTTTTTTTTAATTTTATTTTTTTATTGTTCAAATACATTTGTCTCCGTTTTCCCGCCACCGCTTTCCCCTGCCCTCCTCCCCACTGTTTCCTTTTATTTTTCTTTGGCCATAACAAATGATGC